ACCTTTCCCATCGGCTATTGGCCACTGCCGGAGCCCTACTGGCCGGACTCCAAGGCGATAACATTGCCGCCTCGCGACGCACATCCCAAGTTGAAAATCCTGACCCCGGCGGTGGACGAGCCACAGCTGGTGCGCAGTTTTCCCGTCGACAAGTACGAGATTGAAGGCTGTCCGTTGACGCTGCAGATTCTCAACAAGCGTGAGATGAACAAGTGCTGGCAGGTGATTGTGACCAATGGAATGCATGGATTCGAGTTGCCCTTTGGCTACTTGAAAGCGGCGCCAAACTTTTCGCAGGTGCACCTCTATGTGCTGGCCTACAATTATCCAGCGTTGCTGCCCATCCTGCACGACCTCATCCACAAGTACAATATGAGTCCGCCGAGCGATCTGATGTACAAATTCAACGCCTATGTGCGTTCAATACCGCCGTATTACTGCCCGTTTCTGCGCAAGGCGCTGGTCAACATCAATGTGCCGTACCAGCTGCTGCAGTTCCTGCTGCCGGAGAATGTGGACAACTACCTGTCGCCCACGATCGCCAATCAGCTGAAGCACATCAAGAATACGGCCAAGCAGGATCAGGAGAATCTGTGCATGAAGGTCTACAAGCAGCTGAAGCAACCGAAGCCACCTTATCGCCAAGTGGAGACGGCTAAGCTTTGCACAGGTGCGGCGTTGCGAAGGGATTTGGTGCGGCATCCTCTGCTGCGGGATATATTTGCCAAGTTGCATGCGGAAATAGAGCCCGTGGAGAATTATACGATTGTGGTGCCGCAGCTGACGCATCAGTCGTCGGCCAAGTCGTATCGGAATCCCTTCGATATACCGCGGCGAGATTTGGTGGAGGAAATTGCCAGGATGCGTGAGACCTTCCTGCGACCCGCCTCGCTGGTGGCCAAGGATTCGGGCCACTGCCTGCCCATCGCCGAGATGGGCAACTATCAGGAGTACCTCAAGAACAAGGACAATCCGTTGCGTGAAATCGAGCCGACGAATGTGCGGCAGCACATGTTTGGTAATCCGTACAAGAAGGACAAGCACATGGTGATGGTGGACGAGGCCGATCTGAGCGATGTGGCGCCAATGAAGTCGCCAAATGGCAATGGACCGGGTGGAGCGCCGCCCGGCTCACCATCCGGATCGGGTTCGCCCACTGGACCGGGGCCCTCATCCCCTGGCTCGTCGCCAGGCGGTGGCTCGGGTCCCGGGATGCCTGGGATGGGCGGTGGAATGTCAGGACTCATGCTGGGTGCCGGTGCCGGTGGTGGATCCTCCAAGAAACTGGACGGCACGTCTCGAGGGCGAAAGAGGAAAGCAGGCCCGCTGCCACGTGGCTTTGAATTCCGTCGAATATCTACGGATTCGCGTTCATCCTGCTCCAGCTCCGTGTCCTCCACAACGGGTAGTGCACCAGGAACACCGATACCAGGTGCCACGTCATCCATAGCCGGCTGCGATTCCTCCATGGGAGCTGATGGCAGTCCCAGTGCCAACTGTTTCGACGAGGACACCAATAGCAACAGCAGCTTTGTGAGCTCCACATCGGAGGCCTCCTCCAGTGATTCTGGGATGTCAATGTCGCATTCGGATCGCCTGGGCATCAGTTTCGATTTCAACGAGGAGGAGACCAGCGATCAGGATACGCCGCTCAATGGCTATGTGCACAACTTTATCAATGGTATCAGCGACGATGCGGCAACGGGGGAAACGGAAGCAGTTCCAGGTGGGGCTTCCCTGCCAGCTACGTCTCCAGCTAACGAACCGCCAACTGGAGCATCACCAGCAGTTTCAGCGACGCCAGCAATATCTGTGATCCCGGCCAGCAATGGCAGCGAAGTTTGCTCCGCTGTCGCAGCCGGCAGCAGCAGTTCCATCAGCTCCAGCGCCAGTTCCTCGGGCGTTCTCTACGTGCCCCTCAATGGTCTGACCACCCATGCCGCCTACAGCAGTAATCTGGGTGGTCTGAGCTCGCCGTTGGACAACCTGAGCGGCTCCTTGGGTGGAGCGGCAGGAGGTGCAGGAGCGGCTCTACTGGGCACCAGCAAGCCGGGATCGCTGCCCTTGGCCAATGGTTATGGCCACGGTCACAGTTCAGCCATCTCCCCACCTTCGCCATTGTCCCTGGTGCCTCCTTCTCCACTAGTAACAAATACGCCCGCTTCCAGCACGTTTGGATTATCCACCTACTTCAGCCACAATGACATCAACGATGCCTCGGAGATCTCGCGCATACTGCAAACCTGTCACAATGGAACCAGCAGTGGCTCCTCGGGCGGAGCGGGCGCAAGCAACAGCAATTTGAATGGCAATGGCAGCACGGAGAGTGGAGGAGTCTCAACCGATGATCATGCCTCGCTGGGCGGCAACAGTTTCGATGCCCTCAAACGGACAGCGGGAACCGCGGGCGGCACTGCGGCGGGTAATCCCCACTACTACTGGGCCAGTGGTCTCAATCATCACAACAATAACAACAGCAGCGCCGGTGGAGCAGCTGTCGGCGGTTCGGCGTTGAGCAACAATCACAATCACCGGGGCCACAACAACAGCAGCCCCTGCAAACTGGAGGTGAAGAGCAACTCCAGCTGCGGCTCCTCGCCGACGCACAACAACGGGGGCATGAACTCACCGGGACAGACGCCGCCGCACATCTTTACCGAGGAGCAACGCGAAGCGGCCCGGCTGCACAACATTGAACTGCGACTCCAGATCTTCCGGGATATACGGCGACCGGGCCGCGACTACAACCTGCTGCTGGAGCACATGAATCTGGTCAAGGGCGACCAGGACATGCAGTCGGATTTCGTGGACATGTGCATCGGGGAGTCGCTGCGCTTCCGACGCCATCGCATGGCGTCCAGCATCCAGGAGTGGTGGGATCGCAAGCAGCAGTTAACTGGAGTGGGAAGCACTGGAGTTACCGCCAGCGCAGAGCAGGCCGTCGCCAAGAGTTAACGATGGCTCATGTGGCACCACTGAGCCCGCGGGGTCATCCAATCCATCTGTCTGTGATGTCAACAAAATCGAAATCGAAATCTAAACCGAAACTGAAATTGAAACTGAAACTGAAGCTGAAGCTGAAACAGTAACAACAACCGAAGTAAAAATAAAAGTGGAAGGAAGAGCAGCCGCGGAAGCCAAGAATTCTCGTCAATTTCCATATACTGTAAATAATTGCCAGGACAGGTAGCCCAAAGGATCTGGATGGGGATCAACGCCGGGGGATATAGCCACTATATCGCATACCAAACAACAAACAACAAACAAGCAACAATAACATTAACAAACAAAACCAACAAGCAGCCACAATTCTAAAAGAGAGGAAACACCACATTTTTAGGGTCGATTTCTAATTAGTTTAGGGAGTTTAGAATTTTTGTATGGCGCACGGATTTAAATCCGTTCGCCATGAGGCAAGATACATGTAATTATACCATATATAAAAACTTAAGTTAGCCGTTAGTTAACAATAAAACTTAAAGTAACGATAAAGCGAGAGGATTTTGGAGCAGCCGTTTCAGTTGTACTTTTTTTTTTACTTAGTATAAATATATAAGCTTAAAGTAATAAATAAGCATATATTTTCCCTAAGAACTTAGGAATTATTTTAATTAGACTTTGATAAATTGTAAGTGTAAAGTGTATGTGTAAAAAAAAGGAAAAAGTTTAGGAAAAGCTTGAACTTAATGAGCCTCACACGTTTTAGCCAATTTTTTGTTGGACCTGTTTCAAAAACACTTTGCTTTGATTTTAGCCAAAACGAATAGAGAACGTAAACAACTGAGGACCCTGCAGATACAAATATACATATATGTTTATATATATGGAGGATCTTATCTAGATCGGGTCAGCGTTTCATTATTAAAAACAATTGTATTATTATGTATTTTCTTGAATCCTCCAATATCTAATTTGCTTTTATGTTATTTCATAAACTATTTATGCGAATTGTAATGTGAACATAGCTTGTAGAGAAAACAACACACCAACACACACAAATATCATTTGAAAGGCGGAGAAAACGATAAGCGAAAAAAGCGTTTGTTATACATATAGAACAAGAAAAATTAATACATTTTTGCACTATTTTTTTACGTGGATGTTTGTATGCATGGCCTGTGAGTAATTGAGATGTAACAAAAAACAAAAAGAGGAAACGTTTACTAGTAGTTAGGCGGCGGGCAGTGTTTTAAGAACTGCTTCAGGATTAAATATTGTTGTACAATTTAGCGTGTGCGTATCTAACAAATTTCATAGGACATCCACAACAGAATCAACAGAGCAGCAGTAAAGCAAACTGAAATCAATACGAAATCAAACGCAAATAAAAAGAGGAGCATTGCATTAAAGTTTCATGTGTTGGGAGAGGGGGTAATAACTTTTTATATCTCCTTTTATCTTTTCTTATATGCCCCTCCCGATCCAAAGGCGTCGGCGACCATGCCCCATGTATGAATGATCCCTTCGCAGTCGCAGTCGCTCCTCCAAACCCTTTTGCCCATTGTATCATTTAAGACCCATTCACTTGGGGATTTTGGGGATACGATATCGCTTTGGTTCCGGAAAGACTTAGATCCATTTTCGCTTGCTTTTATTGAGAGACTATTTTTCAGAAATTGTGTTATTATTTTATGAAACTTGGTTGCTTTACTATTTAATGTTTCTTTTTTAATTGGGGCATATGATGTCAACAAAATATGCGTTGATTTAATGTACGAACTGTTTTGAATTAAATCGTACCGTTACATTCGCGTACTCGTATTTGCGTTCGGTATTCTGCACAGTGGGTTTGAAGAAAATGGATTTATAAAAGCCAGCCTGGTATTTTCTTGATTCCAGTATTTATTACAAATATGCTATATATACCATTTATTGCCCCACTGTGGGCTTACTCACAATTGCGTTCGTCAAGCTCTCGGGCGTGCGATAGCAGTGTTGCACAGACGCGATAGCTATCGATTAACGATCAGCTGATTGATAGTTACGCTCGATAGCTGCAATCGGCAGTCGGTATTCCATGGCGATAGGACGCCACCGATACATCGACTGGCAGTCAGTGCGATACTCGCGAAGTTATCGGACGTGTACGCTAGCAACAATTAACACACAGAACAGTCCAACTAACGGAATAAAAATGCGCAGCGCGAAAATAAAATAAAGAGCGAAAACACAGGCGTGTGTTAGCTAAAATAAGTTCCATAAATAATCAATTATATTTTTTTTTCGGTGTGTGCGCGTGTGTGTGCTAGCCTAAAGAGCGAAGGGGAGTACAGAAGTACAGAAGGCGAAGCGGAGCGAAGGAGGAGGCGTAAAAAGTAAAAGTGGCGGTGCCTGTCTCTATACGTGTGTGTGTGTGTGCGTGCGTGTGTGTGTGTCTGCCGAAAAGAAGTTGCAGAAAACATTACGCAAAATAAGAGAGCGAAATAACCACAACACAACAAAAGATATTGTGCAAACAACACAGCGCTGAGAGGCGGAAAGGTGGAAAGCAGGCACGTCGGTGAGGGGCGGACGGAGGAGGGCGGCGGCAGAAGAGCACGCACTGCCTAAGTGCGAGCGAGAGCGAACGACCGGCGCAATGAGCATCGTTGGCGAAAACCATCCCCTCCCAACCCCAACCCCAACCCCCGCCAGCGCCGTGGTGTCCGCATCATCGGGCGGCGGTGGCGGCGGTGCGGTCGTCATGGGCGTCGGCGTCGGCGTCGGCGTAGGCGTGACCACAGCAAATGGACCCCGTGTCGTCACCATTTACAAAACGGAAACGGGCTTCGGCTTCAACGTGCGCGGCCAGGTATCCGAGGGGGGTCAACTGCGCTCGATCAACGGCGAGCTGTACGCCCCCCTTCAGCACGTGAGCGCCGTCCTTGAGAATGGGGCGGCCGAGAAGGCGGGCATCAAGAAGGGCGATCGCATCCTCGAAGTGTAAGTACCATCCACGCTTAGACTAGCCTCCGTATGTTTTGGGGTATTCTTGCCAATGTGAGCTTAAAGAGCTGGATATCTTGCTATCCTCAGAACTCTGATTATACATACTCAACATATAGTCTATTCCCGATCAATGAATCACTCCCAAGGAATTGTATCCTAAAGCTAGCTATAATCCCAAAATGCGCTGCACACATTTAAGTGCTTTCAACTTCATAAAGTCCTTAGAATCATTATAAGCGAGTTTAAAACCTGCTTTCGACCACTTGTCTACTTGTAACTTAAGCCATGTGCAACACTAATTGGTTAAATGTGCACAAGTTACTTGATGTTAAACACGTTTAGCTCGGCCCAGTCTAATATATTCCCCTTATCAAATTATAGCCTAAATTTTAGTTTTCAGAGCACGAGAAAGTTCATTTTAGCAGCGAGCGGAAAGAAAAACTTGCAAAGAGTTTGTGAAAATTCAAAGGGCAATTTGAGGACCGAGCTCTTTAAGCTTGTGGCTCATGGTGTTGGTATTTTCGGGGTGCCCAGGGGTTAAGTAAGCGATGTTAACCCCACGAAGGGCTTGCATGTGCGACCTCTGACTCCGCCCACTTTTTTGCTGTTGTTGTTTTCGATGGAGTTGAAGTTGGAGGTGAATTCGTAGTAGGTCAAAAAGGCTCGGGAATATCAATAAACACTGCCTGCATGGTGTTGGTGGTTGTTGCTGGTTTTAAGCACACATTTCAGAGGGTTGCTACCGAAAATTGGGGTACAAAAGGGGAGAAAGCCCCAAAGTTACTAACAATGTGAGCTATGCTAGTCATACGAATATCTGATTGTATAATGCATGTGTATATATTATTAAAACAAAATAAGTGTGCACGATTAGATAATGGCGAGATTTCTGCAGGGCTAGTATTTCATATTTTATCACGAAATTATATTGGGGCTTATCATTTTCTCGGAATTCCTGTTTAAATAACACTGAAATAGGGAAGTATGACGATGAAGAAATATGAGTCAGTGGGACGGGTTGATAAGGGACCACATTTATCAATTAAATTCCCGCTTGATGAATGAAAATGTTTTCGTTTCGAAAACAATGTTATTACATTATTGCTGGCCATTTTCCTTTTTTAATTTGGACTTAAAGGTGCTCTCTTGTTAATCCACTTTTTTCTGCTATGTTTTCTTGAATGCCATAATATTATGACACACCACACCAACACACACACATACACCCTAATTCCAACACAATTGCATGCAGGCTAATTAAAATGCTCACTTATATTCCTTTTTTCTCGCATTGTATTGTTTCATTCACTCTGCTGCTCTTCACTCGTTGCCTTTAGTTGGCGTCCCTGTCTGGCGAAGCTTTTGTTTAGCATCTTTTGACATTTGTGTTTAGATACCCGTTATCAGAGAATATCTCGTGTTCGCCTCTTCCCTATCCCTCCACTCGCTCTTTTCCTTTCTTCTCTCCGAGGCTGTCCATCAATCATTTTATTTTATTTCATTACTCATGTACAGTGGGCTCTCGATGGAGTGTATGAATGGTGTTTCAATTCAGAGTGTATAATATTCAATGCTAAAAGTGGCAGTTCTGTTTCTCACCAGATTTCGTTGCGTTTAAGTACGCAATTCCCATATTACTGCATTTCCAGCGCACTGGTGTTCACTGTACTTCGTTACTCTTGTAGTTTCAGTTTGTTTTTGTAGTGGGTGCGGTTTCGCTCTCCCTTTCTAGCGCACAGCATAGCATACAGTGTGCGTTCGGTACGAAATTCAATTAATAAATTTTAGCAAAGTTTCGTCGCACTGGAGAGCATCCAGCAACTTAATTATCATTGTCACCTTGCCTCGTCGGCAACGGAAAATTCGCAAATTTTCCACACTTTTCCAATGCAAATAGAATGAGTGACGTGGATGAAAGCGATGCAGGGGGGTGAGGGACTGAAGGGCGTTTTGCTATTATGCGGCTTGTTGTTGCTATTTGCAGTGCCCATCATTTCATTATCAGTGAAAATAACAACAACAACGACGACGACGACGGCGGACAGCCGTTATAATTTGGCCGCGCGTGAGCTAACAAAAGCAAAAGCAAAGCAAAAGCAGTGCAAAAGCAAAAGCAAAGCACAATCTGCAGAGGGCAAGCGAAATGCAAAAGGCAGAAAGCAAAAGCAAACAAATTTGCATTTGGTTTCCGCCTTTGCGAACCAGTTTTCAACTGGAACCAAGCGCTCCAATCCCGCTAATATATTTGCGCTTCACTTTGATGGTTTTTAAATACATAAATCTGCTGAAATTTATCAAAAATATGAATATTATCCAATCGAAACTGGATTTAAGCTCCAAAAATGAAACAACTAGCAGCGTTTTTACTTATGGTATCCTACATTTCTAAAACATAAAATTATACAAAATATGTACTTATACAAATCTCTAGGATCGGAAGCAATATGTAATCCTTATGGAATCCGTAGCAGCAGTGCCCACTGTTGTTCATCCGTGTGCTTTTGTTTGCCTGATTTTTCGGGGGCGTTCCGCTCGCTTCATTACCTCCCGCCAAACACATCCGCCCCTTGGCCACGCCCATTAATCAGATAACGACGCACAGCTCGAGCACCCACCCACCCATGTAATGGGTGTCTATCGGAGTTTCCTGGACCACCAGTACTGCAGCAGTGACCACCAGCTATGCGGCAACTGCTGTTCCGTAGCCACACCGAGTTGCCTCTGCCGCCAGATGGTGGGTGCATCGTTGCACAGACTGCCGTTGCAGCGCACACAGTAGGGATCATTGGCGGAGCACTCCGGCACCTGACCCTCGCATCCGCGCACCGTGTAGATCCCGTCCAGCCGGCTGAGCACCGTGCTCACGCACAGTTCCGTGGGGCTGGAGCAATTGCTGGTGGTCATCGCCGCGGGCAAGTCCATGGCCGCACAGTCCGCGTCCTGGTCGTGGGCACTGCAGCGGTAGCAGCTCCGGACGGAGAAGCGATTGCAGGAGTCCGCATCGCGGCACAACTGGCAGCTTTCGCCCAAAGCTGCAGGTGCGAAATCCGCATCCGCACAGCCGCGTCGCAGGAAGGTATCTGGGATTATAAGGAAATGGGTTACAAGGGTCACGTCCGTGAGGTTAAGGGCTATAAATTCAATGGAAACTGAGTAAATGCCATTAGGATTTCACTTAATAACGAAAGAGTAGTATTATTCAACAACGATAAAGATGGCCAAAGGAACAACTCTAATCAATGGCATTCAAGAAAAATTCTCTAAAGAGAAGCATTGCTTAACAAGTTTTATTTCCAAATGAATAACGGACAGTTTGAGCGCGCCCTCTGAAAGCGGTTCCTGGTCGAGATTCCTCCACTCACCCTAACCTTGCTCGCAGGAATAGCATGCCGTGGTGCCCGCTGCGCACTTTTCCGTTGGCAAATTGCGGCCAGAACGGCAGCCAGGATTCGCGGTGGAGTTGCAGGCGGCGCAGACAATGTCCTCGCAATTCGCATTGCAGAGTTCGCCGTGGCACTCGGTTAGCTCGCCGGTGGGATAGAATCCCATGATGGTGGAGCAGCCCCTCTGGAGGACCTCCGTCTGGGTGTTGCGGTAGCTAAAGCAGTTCTCCCTGTGTCCGTACATCACCTTGTTGACGCAATGCGTCACCGTTGAGTTGCTCAACGAGCACTTAAGTTGCTCCTCCTCCGTCGCCCGGGAATCCTGGTCCCGCAGGCAGTCCGGATTGGGGGCCAATCGATTGTGGGTGCACTGAAGGCAGCGCGACTCCGTGACGGTCTTCTCCGCATTGCAGCCATTGTAATTGCACTTGAGACAGACATGCGGACAGGTTGTCGGCAGATTGGTGTGCTCACAGCCGCGCATGGTGTTGGATAAGTGGACTACGTTCGTGTAGCACCTGTCGTCCTCACGGTAAACCGGACACGGCAGCAGATACTGCGGCCGACTGGCCACATCGATGCACTCCGATCCGCTGCACTGATAGCATCGCAATCGATCCGTGGGATAGACGTGCCGATTGCACAGGCTCGTAGTGCACCGGTCACATGGAGCGGCACAGTAGCCATTTGGATACAATCGCGCCAGGCAGCCGCGGCGCGTTAATCCCGCCGATATGGAGGTGACACACTCGTCGCCCGACTGCTGACACTCCTCCACTTCCAGCTGCTGACCCGGTCGGGTGGCACATTCCGAATCCTCGGCGGAGTCACAGGCATAGCACTCCAGGGAGTCGACTGTGGCCAATCCCAGGATGAGTAATCCGACCACCGCAAGGAGCGGCTGTCGGGCATCCAGTGCTCGCTTTCTGGCCATCGTTTAATCGGTCTCGAATCGCTGGACTAACTGCTGGGACAAAGCACTAGTGGGCAAGTATAAGCAGGCTACACTGCGATTAGATTAGCCGTTGAATCTCAAGTGGTTCCAAGTTCGCACTGATTGGTCCGGATAAGTTTCTGAAACTGAAATGGGTATTTCTTTGTTGGTCCCAAAAGTGCTGAAGATTGCACTTTCCCAGTGCTGCCTGGCTCTAGGAGCACGGAACCCAATGAGAACGAACTAGATCGAGAGGAGAAGCAGCTCCAAAAACCATAAATATTATGTTAAGGGAATCCCCAGGCTTCTTGTGCACATCATTCATTGAAGGTTTCCATTTCTAATTGCCCCACTGTTTGTCTTCAAATCCACTTAAGCAAACACAAAAGACATTATTATCATAAAGTTGGAATAAATTGAAACTGAATCCAGTGGTGTGTGCCTTCAGTAACATTGGGCAATTAAAAATAATAAACTTTTGCCGAGAGAAGCACACAATTTGCATGCGAATTTAACCCACATTTGCAGCGGAGAAAGTTTCACACCCCCACTTGTTGTCCATTCAAATTGAATAAATAAATTCCTTGGACAATTTGCGTTGGCTACGTCTCCACTTTGTTGACTGAATTAAACCCATATGCATATGAAACGTAATTCATTTCAACAGGAAAATGGGCCATCAATTACGTATACGTGTGTCGTATGATAATAATGGAAGTTGTGAACTTCTTGGCCGATTTAATGGGCCAACTAAGCAATGCACTTTGAAGTGAACTTGGATTCGTCAGACTCTATGTAGACTGTGGGTGGCCAAGGATGGGTTCGTTGATCCCTGAATGGGAGAATTAATCCGGAAGAGGGCTTGATGAATTGCCTTTTGCGACTGCTCCTTTGAAAACAAGACACTAAAAGGATACTTCTGGATGCATCACTTGATTGAGGACCCCAGACTCCAGACCCCAAACCCCAGACCCCAGACCCCAGACCCCAGACATTCCTTTTGGCCATATTCCATCTGCAGCTTTTGTGCTCGGCTTGCACTTGGCCGTCTCTCAGTCCACTTAACATTGTACTTGGTTGTGGGCGGTCTTGGGTGGCTCTGTGCTAAGGTTGTTGTGGGATTCAATCAATGGGGATTATGAACTATTTTCAGCTTGCCTCTCGTTTTGCCTTCCCAAGCTGTATTCGTTGAAAAACAAAAAAAAACAATCCCCGACAGTCATGTCAACGCAAAAGTGCACAAACCAGAAACATTTAGGTAAATATAGCAATAAATAGTTGTTGAACGTGACATTCGTAGGCTATAAAGAGCTTATCTCAACGGTGAAAGATGCAATTTCCAACGATTTCTGTCAGTGCATATCAAGATACACGAAAAAATCCATCCGTAGGATACCGAGCACAACTTTGCAACAAAAAAGGAACTTGATTGAAACGCAGAGGAACAATTGCATCTTGAGCCGGAAATTTCCTTCACCATTTCTTTTTTCCACTCTGCGCTGTTTGAACTCCTGGGCTTTCATCCTATTACTCCCAAGGTATTTCCCCCCACCCAACCATGTGCCACATGCTACATACTATACATGCATCTATGTACAAGTTTAAGCAAACAACTTAAAGTACATCTTCCCGGAGCGAAAATAAATTGAGTGTTAAGAAGCCTTTAAGCACGCAAGTGGCAGACAATTTCCCATCTCGAACTTGCCACACGGCTCTAATGTTTCTGTGGCATATGGCTTGGGTTATTGAAGGGTCATTAGCTGATTTGTAGCCAGCACATGTGAGCCGACGTGTATGTGCTATGTGCACTGTGGACCTGTGTGGTACCCAACAAATAACTAAATAATCAAATGGAATGAAGCCTAACAAGAGCTGCAGGAGTTCCAAATTGAGATACATGTCGAAAAAGATACATAGCTAAGATCTTAGCATAAAACACGTTGACCAATTCAATGAAGTATGCATTGGGTATCGCTGAATCGAGCTTCGGGCTCAAATTTTTTGTTTTATGCTGCCACCAATATGTGTTTGCGGTTGGTACTGTGTCAATGTTGTTGCTGCTGGTCTGTGGCATATGCCCGACAATAATCAATAGATTTACGTCACTGGATCGACTCGGATTGAATGGGATGGGCAGGGGGCATTGGGCGATGGGAGGTCGATGTGGTTGCGGCTTGGTCGCCTGACTAGCTGACTGACGAACTGGCGGAGTGGCGGACTGGCGGACTGGCTGGCCCACATATCCGCATTTCCGAGGAGTTTTGGTGGCGGTTACAGGTTTTCATGTTTTCATGTTTTCAGGTTTCACTTTTCGGCTTTTTCATGCCGACCTAACTAAGCCCGAAATAAACCCGACGGGGAATGGATGCGGCAAGTGGCAATGGGACTGGGACTGGGACTGGGAACTGGGAGAAGCAATAGGATAGGAAACGAAACGTAACGATTTGGATTGGGATTCCGGGTGGCGACACGGGGCGAGGCACATCAAACAGAAACAGAAACAGAAACAAAAACAGAAACTGAAACTGAAACTGAAAACGAGAATTAAGCAATGGAAGGAAGGACACTCATGTTAAGCACTCATGTCAGGTCCTCCAACGGATTCCTGTTGGGCTTAATTAATTTTCGATTTCCATGCCCGTTAATGGAATTACATTTCACTTGCAGGCGAGTACTGCGCGTCCAAGGTGAATTAGATATAAACATGGAATGCAGGCGCCAGCTTTGTTCTATCCAGTGTATATGTAGAGTTGGATATATGTATATATAATAATAATGCTCTTCACATTTCTCGGCGTATTTTTAGATATTTGAAATCCACTCTGCATAGCCTATAGATATGTGTGAATTATCTTTTCATTTCGCCCTCAACTATTAAAATTTCGTGTGTAAACATTTCGGATTTTATTATTTGTTCGGTGCCCGGCGCAAATATTTATTCGATTTGCCGGACTTAAACAATTGCCTACCCCGTAGTATCGAAGCACCCCGCAGTCCAGTCGCATTACCATGTCCAATTAGTGCTGGAGGGAAAAGCACACAAATCGCGAATAAACATTGACCGAAATGAATATAGAAATCCCATTAGTATTTGCCCAAGACAGTTGCGTCGGCCTATCAGCTTTGCAGCTACCCTGTATGCAGGTATGATGGAACTGCAAGTAGCTTGTAGCTATTGAAAGTGGCCACGTAGCTGTCAATCGATATGAAGTGCTCCTGGGAATAAGCCACATATATAGCCAGCATATGTTGCTTCACATGCCACACTTTGTGTGTGGTGCACACCCACTGTGCGGCGCCACCTGTCCCACTGTGCAGTGGTTTTGTACATACCCTTCCTGCCTTTCGCACCAAAACCAAGAGACGGTCAAGCTGCACGGATAGCTAAGATGCCTTAAATTAAAACTACAATTAATGGAAAACGATACAGTCGCTCGTAAACGGGGGGAGAAAAAACATTCGCCTCATGTTGTCGGACACAATTAAAAGGGGAAAGGCATTTGCATTCGCCTATAAATAAATGCATAGATAGCTTTGTGCCGCTCTTTCGATGTGATCTTTTCTGCTTTATTGTGTTTCCGTCTTGTCTTTGTATCGTTGCTGTGTTTCTTAACTATTTTTACCAAGTGGCGCTGGCCTGGGCTCCATGGCAAACAGGTTTCCCCGAGCCGAGCCGAGCAGGGTTGCGTCTTGGTTTCAGTTTCAGTTTCAGTTGGAGCTGCAGATTCAGTTCAGTTCAGTTCAGTTCAGTTCAGTTTTAGGCTGCTCCTGCACTGAATTCTCCTCCACATCCGCTCCTATCTGCCCCACCGCTCCACCCGGCTTGTTCTGCATTTCTGGATTTGACATGTCGCTATGTGAGTCATGCTGCGAGCCCCTGAGCATTTCTGCCACTCCACAGTGCGTCACAATGTGTGTCGATATCTGCAGCGATTTATTTATACACTTACTTTACTTACTAAAGTTATGTACGTACCGTAGCACGTTGTGGGTGAAATGGCAATGGGTATGGGCATGTCGGATTGCGAATTGCCAACTGCATGACGTCTTCTGCTCCGGAGAAATGGAGGAAATCGAGGAAGAAATCTGGGATGCTCTTATCCAAGGCATTACGTGGTTCCCATTTCATTGCTATCAACTCGATTCACTTAATGCGGATTCGTTGTGGTGTAAATAACATTTGCGCTACTTGTCGTTCCAATTCATTAATTGTGAATTGAAAGCCCCATGTACACTGTACACTATTTGATTGTCGGATTTATTATTGTAATTTGCACCTCATTTCAATTTAGTGCTTATCACTAAAATAAGACTATCAAATAAGACCCCTTATCTGTTTCTCTGCCTATCAACCTTCAAGTTCGAGAGCATCGCACCTAGATAGATACGATAAGTGATTCCAACTTGACCCGCATCGAATAGATGCCAATCGACCGACCATCCAGACACGCCGCCTTATCAACGCCACTGCGATGTCAATGCATCCATTATCGACGCTATCTCTGGACTCCCACTGCTGTTATTTTCGCTTAAATGGATCTGTGGTCGATGGCAACGCCTTTAATTCGCCTGGGACGATCGTTCAGCAACGTTTCCATTCCTTCGAAATGCTGCCCTTTCATTCTGTTCAGTATGCGCAGTTGACGGCCATAGAGAAACGTTGTCTTCGGTTGGGTTGCCCTATAGCTCCTATACCATATTCCCATAGAAAACCAACTGATGGACCTAATGTTTGTCTCCATTATGTTTCTCCAATTGCAGAAATGGCGTCAGCGTCGAGGGAGCCACACATAAACAGGTCGTAGACCTGATCAAATCCGGCGGCGATTGCCTAACTCTGACGGTGATATCGGTGACACAGCAGGTGGGTTCAACACATAATTTATATAACCACAAGCATAACACTACTGCTTCCATAGGAGGCTGATCGACTGGAGCCGCAGGAGGATCAGAGCGGCTACTCCTACATCGATTACTCGGACAAGCGCTCGCTGCCCATTAGGTAAGCAACCATTTGCACGCAACAAAGGATATTAAAGGTATCTGTAATTAATATATACCATCCGCTGTGCAGCATACCGGACTATGGGATCGTGAATCGGAATGGCGAGCGGTACATCGTCTTCAACATACACATGGCCGGAAGGCAGCTCTGTTCGCGTCGCTATCGGGAGTTCGCCAACCTGCACTCGCTGCTGCGCAAGGAGTTCTCCGGCTTCAACTTCCCCAAGCTGCCCGGCAAGTGGCCCTTCCAGCTCAGCGAACAGCAGCTGGACACGAGGCGCCGTGGACTGGAGCAGTATCTGGAGAAAGTGTGCGCCGTGCGGGTGATTGCCGAGAGTGATGCCGTTCAGGACTTCCTTACCGACACCGAGGATGATATATCCGCCTCGCCGGTGGACATTAAGGTGATGCTGCCCGACCACGAAGTGAGCACCGTGTCGGTGAAGAAGTCTTCCAATGCCCAGGTGGTGTGGGAGATACTGGTGCAGCGCGCCAATCTCACTGCCTACACGCAGCAGTATTTCTACCTGTTCGAGATTGTCGAGTACAACTTTGAGCGAAAGCTGCAGCCGCACGAGATTCCACATCAGCTGTACGTGCAGAACTACAGCACCGCCTCATCCACCTGCCTCTGCGTCCGTCGCTGGCTCTTCTCGGTGGCCAAGGAGCTGACGCTGCCGGACGGCGAACAGGCTGGCCGCTTCATCTTTTACCAGGCGGTCGACGAGGTGAATCGCGGCAATATCCGAGCCGATGGACGCCTGTACGAGCTGAAGGCGCTGCAGGACGCCAAGAAGGCGGGCGACTATCTGGCCTTGGCCCGCACACTGCCAGGATACGGAGACGTTGTCTTTCCCCACTGCTCCTGTGATAGTCGCAAGGAGGGACACGTTGTGCCCGCCGTGGGTGAGTAATCGTATTTACAAACGCCTCTATTCTGCGCAATCTAGTAACAGCTCTCGTTCCTCCACAGGCATAAAGAGCTTTCGGCTGCACGCCTGCCGTGAGGATGGCTCCCTGGAGGCGCAAATGGTCGAACTGACCTGGGACAGCATCACGCGCTCCGAGAGCGACGAGGAGTCCATGTCATTTTGCTTTCAGTACAATCGTCCAGATAAGCCAGCACGTTGGGTCAAAGTCTACACGCCATATGTAAGTTTGGATGCGGCAAAGTGCAATATGGTGCCATATAGAATAGCTGTAGAGAACACAGAACACAGAAATGATTCCCTTTAATATTGTAACATATTTTGGATGACAAAACACGCAAGGATAAATTGAATTTGTAGTGTTTTGGTTAATTACCTTTGTGTGATTCAAGCACATGGAATGTGCATGGCATAATTAATTTGCAAACAATTGTTCTGTTGATTGGGAAAGGAATTTGGAGAGTTCAGCTGCACACTATATAAGCCACAACTCCTTCCATCCACGCCCATGTGAATTGCATTTAATTAATATTGTTTTCCGTCCTGCAGCATGCATTCCTTGCGGACTGCTTTGATCGCATCATGGAGGAGCGCAAGTGGGAAGACAGCGGCGACTAGGGAAGGCGCAAGGTGCTGCAGGAGGAGCAGGAGCAGGAGCGGGAGGAGCAGGAGCAGGAGCGGGAGCCAGTGGAGCAGAAAGAGCAGCAGCGACGGCGTCGACGGCAGGAGGGGCAGATTAAGCAACCCACAACCATACCAAGCATCACCAGGCGGGCCGAGGCATTGCACATTGTTCGTTAGTGGCTCGTTGGTGGGAGGAGCCCAGCCATGCCGAGCTCTCCGCCCCTAAGCCCACACAACACATCTCCTTCGGTTAGCTTGCCATATTCCGGCTGGTCAGCTGCCGGGGCTCCGGTATCTGAGGACTCAGATTCGTGCTGACCCACTGCTGCACCTAATGCCTCACCCACATATATTGTAAAGTATATTTGGCACTGATATATATACATTTATATAATTTGTACATTGACAAGCAATTGCAATCGCCTTGGCTCTCGTTGCTCCAATTTGGGATGCGGATGGCGGATGGGCTGGTCGTCTGGTCCGTTGGTTGGACGAGTTTGGAAAATGTTAACAGCAGCAACAAAAATGTTTCAAATGTTTTCGGCACTTAGCACACTTAGAGCAAACACAGGCACCAATTTAGATCAAGCAGAACCGACGATTCTCATTATACAATATAAATATATATATATATACATACACACCACTCACAGACATGCGTACATTATAAACAAAACAAAACAAAACAAAACAAACAGAACAAGCAAACAAACAAAACAAACAAAAATATATAAAAGAGTATATTTAAGCCAACCTCAGCGTAATATTTAATTCGTACTTTTCCAAATACCCTTTGTTCCGTTTGTGTTTGTATATTTTGCTCATAGGAAAGCAGCGGCTAAAGGAGATCTTTGAAAAATGAATTGTAAAAAGTCAATTTTAATTATACACAAATATACATCATATATATATACATATACATAAATGTTTAGCAAACAAATCAACAGACATTGATCATTTATTTATTTGTATGTACGTAGGAAGGCCCAGAACGAACTCAACTGAACGCAAGAAACCGAAATCAGAGATCAGAAATCAGAGATCAGAAATCAGAGATCAGAAATCAGAGATCAGCAAAAGAAAAGCGGGTTGGCACCAAGCAAATGCTAAGCGAAACAATATAAATCTACCAGATAACTAAAGCGATGAAATGTTGAAAATATTGTACTCATTCGAAACTTTCTATAGAAATTGTTAGTTAAATATAAGGTAACGTTAATAGTTATTGAAAAAATGCAAAAGCGAGACTCAAAACTCAAAACGCAACTCAACTAAAGTCAACTCAAAGGCGAACTCAAAAGCAACGTAGAAAGAGACGGCAGGCGGGCAGTAGAAAGAGAGGCACAATGCAAATAGCAAAAATCGAGAGCTAAGGCCCAGCTTTCCTTCACCTCGGAAAACCACAAGAAATCACATTAGTTAAATCCAAAACCTAAACAACCTAAGCAACCTAAACAATTTCACACGATTTAAGGCAGAACATTATTACACATCCGCATACTTATAGAATGGTATATAGGCATACAATTATCAACGATGCAAGTGACGTCTGCTTGTGATATTTACAATTTACACGATTATTACGATTAATTTAATATATTATTTAATTGATTCCATATCGCTTTCGTATCTATATTGGATTTGTTAATCTCTCGATGTGCGTAGATCACGTAATGTATTTATTATGTTTAGTTATAGTCCTACGATAATGTGACCTTAAAATTATGTTTATTATTATTATTACTCTGTCGTTTTTTTTTTTTTTTGTCTCTTTTTGGCCATTTACATCTAGCAAGCGCTTAGTTTAGATTTGTGTGTATTCCATATAATAATTAATAATACTATGCAACTAACTCCGCTCTGTCGTTCTTTATTTGATTATTCTTCTTTGATTCTGTGTCTCGTGACTGTTAACAAACAAAAGTGTTGGGCGTCTCGGGTCCGCGAATGCAAATAGAAGCCACATCTGTACTCGTATATCGGGCAAAGTACATACGCTAACAAGGAGATACATTCCATAAAAATACGATAGTAATTACCAATGTTTTCGAACACATTTAATACGACAACACAGCTCGGCGAGAATAAGCTAAACGAGAATGAAAAGCAAATGCGTATGTGAACTGGTACATCCATCAAACGTTTAAGTGTACAACTAAACTAAATGAACAAATTTAACAAATTTATCGAAAACAAGCATAATAAAAGCAAATTGCATTTTTCCCTTTTCAAAATTACTCAAATCATTTCTTCTGCGACTGTGGCTTTGCGAACCGAACTTAATCGCTTATGCAGAAGATTTCCAGATTTTCTCTCATACGGTTCATCTATTCGACTGAATCTGGTGGGTATTACTTAAGCTACACCTTTAGGTAACTTAAGATTGAGTGAGGTCACCAGGAATCCATGGTAAAGGTTGTAAGTGCCGCTATTTGCTATTCGCACCATTGGCGAATTGAAAATACTCGCACATAAGTCGAGAGTTGGCCAACTTTGGCGGTGACTTTGAATCGCGAATTGCATGACAATTATTTAGCTGCCATCTCGGTTTATTAATTCTCAAATCGGGCTTCACCCCACGGCATTATAGAGGTGTTTAATGATTCGCCAACGCAACTGCCAACTGCCCTTCTAAAAAGCTTAATAGTTTATAGCAAATCGGAGCGATTAGGAGCGCGGTTTTTGTCCCACTGTGCTGGGTTTATCAGAAGCTGTAAACGTGGAATGGGTATGCCTTCTTTTGTTTTGTGTTTCACCAAATCGGTTTATTACCGTCTCTAATATGTGATTCAGTGCGATTGGCGGTACAGTGCCAACAGGCTATGGTGGCCAAGCAAGTGTATGTATTCGAAATATGTTCAAAGGAAAATCACTTGAATTGAAATGCCATAATTACATCTATCTTCAGCTGCCCATTCATTCTCCCCAGAAGCGTCGTCTTTCACTAGACACCACTGTACCATTCTCTTCTTCTCTTCCTGTGGCAGCGATCGTAAATATAGTTCAATCGTCAAATATTTGCGCACTTCTAGACAATTTATGAGTGCAATTTGTTAAACAATATTGCGAATTAGTTGTGGGGGATTCGGTTTGCACATGTGGCTGTGGGTGGCTGGGTTGGCCTGGCTTGGTTGGGTTTACCTTATCAGGTAACACATGTAATTATTGAGAGGTGCTCGATGCCGCTGCTCGATTGAAATGATCGGATCGTCGGACGAACGAGTTTGGCTCTTGACTTTGCCAGTTGATTAATTTTTGTTTGGCATTTTTATTCGTGTACACTTAGTGGTGAAACAAGGTCGAGCATTTTGCGGGGAGCGCGAAAGGAGAGTCGGCGCGAGATTACGCCTAATTAGCCAGGCAAACAAAGGCGATCCACGAAGTGGGCTTATGGCTAGAAAACGAATTTAATTAACTGATTCCGTGGGGCAACAGTCGCCGAGTTCAAACAGCAGCGCTGCAGGAAGACTTGTGAGGTTTTTAACTGCGTAACCAGTGCACCCGGATTAAAAGATACACATACACTGAAAAAGCCGAGTTATAAGTACAGCATTTCAAAACCCAAACTCGATGAATCTATAGGATTTCTGGCTGAGAAAATACATGATTTACATGTTAATTCGTTACCCTTTTAACTGATTAATTTAGCCATCTCGTATACCCGTATATGTGGAACTGGGATTGAAATTCTCTTTTTTTTTTTGATCGGTGTGCGATTATCGCCGAGCGATGATAAGCGCTGATTAAAGGCAAACAGCGATGGCAATCGAAGTCGCCGCTCACTCCCCATCTCCCTCTGTCCGCCCGGCAGCGCTCTCTTTTTCGCTCCGCCGGCGATTTCGGGTTCCGGTTGCCGCTCAACCCTTTCATTCGCCAGTTGGACGCGATCGCGCTTGGAACGCAGCCGCTGGAACCGATGGCTCACTCATCGCAATCGGGAGCCGCGCAGGCGCTCAATGGCCCGCATCCGGAGCTGACATTCGCGGACGCGGACGCGGACACGGATGCAGATGCAGATGGAGATGGAGATGAGCGGATCGAGCGGCTGGAGGAGCAGCGTCAGCTACTGGGCGCCATGCCCAGGAAGCAATCCCTCAGCGAGCGCCGCAACGTGGAGCTGCCGCTCTTGAAGGTGGTCAACGAAAAGGAACCGGAGGCGCTCCTGTCCAACTCAGCGACGCCTTCGCCGGAGGCTTTTGCACCGGGACTGCGGCGCAATTCGATATCCATGCCCTCGGGCATCAATGCCCTGGATCTGGAGGCACTGCGTCTGCGACACCAGATGCAGCCACAGGACGCGCTGCACGAGGAGACTGTGAGTATTGCACTTGGCATCGCATCATCAGACACTGAGAATCTTGCACCGATGTAGAAAGAAGAATCTGGCGTGGGAGGGGTATAAAAAGATTAGTTTACGAGCCAGTGAAATACCTATAAAAATTCCCCGAAAGACAAGTCGCTTAATATTCTCGAAACTTCAAGTAGCATATTTACTTAAAACATTAAACAAATTATAGTTGTAATAGTGTCGTGGAGCATATTTGTATGTTTTGAATTATAGCATAGGCAAACTTTTGAAAGCAGCTGCCTTTAGAGGGTATCTAGAATGCGGTACAGCCAATCAAGGCGTATCTTCTGGCATTTTTGCCTGCTTTTTTAAATATATAATTGCAGCAAACCAGTTGAGCAGTTGAGCCCCATTCGAAATTAAAATACAATGCGTAATTAAGCGAAGCGTCATCGCCTCTAGTCGAATCTCGCCGACTTACAGAAAAGTTGCCCAAAAAATATCCAAACGTTAATTGAGCCTTAATCATACGAAGTTGGCCAATAATACACTTGTCACATGTCAAAACCCGAAATCCAGTTAATAGTCACATGACGGGCCTTCGGTACAAATGGGCATCATTATTCTAGCACATTTTGTATGCCAAAGAACACCTTTTCAAAGAGTCGTTTAGGTAACCATACTATGTATTAGTATACCACATTAAATGTCCATAATTATAAACATTTATGCTAGCAAGACATATTCATTTGGAACACTTTAGTTTGGTACAAATTAAAACAAGTGGCCGTTTAGGGCATTTACCCTTTAAACGTATTACATAAGTATGTGTTTTTTTCACTTAACAAAGACGTGTGTAAGCGCAAAGCAATTATGATTGATTGCCGATATTTGGCATAAATATTTACAATATTGCGACCGATCTCGCTGAATTCCAAGCCAGAATATCTGTATTATTAGCGCATCCGATGTTTTTCCGTGGGAGATTTTGTCTATTATTTTCGCTGTGTTAGCACTCAAACTCATTACTGGTGTCGGAAAGTGGCGACGAAAGCCATGCGCTAATTATAGAGCTGCAAACCAGCCGTCGGGCGGGCGGAGGGGCGTGGCCAGGCCAACGCGGCGTATGTGTGATGTGTCCCAGCGATCAATTGTCACACAGCGCAAATATAACACATACGCAGTGTGGGCTATGCGCGGCCAGCCCAAAAGTATGCAATGTTTCTAACTGCCCACTTTTGGCTTGCGAAGAGAGGTGAGCAAGTGTGGAATAAACGCATATTTAAAGGGAGACATAAATGTCGCACCACACCGACTTAATTAGGCAGATTTTCTATGTTTTTAACAGTTTTTTGCTTTCTGTTGTATTTAGCTATTGAAGCAGCACTTGTTTTTGATTTATTAAGAGCCCTGTAGCAAAGCACATAGTTTGTTGTGGAGTGATGTGCAATTGTTTGCAGTGCAGCCATATTTACGGCCATTTGTCACGAAGTAAGGCTAAGTCGGCGCTAAAGTACTAAAAACGCAGTACGCCGCCAATCAGGGTAGCCGCAATTAATTTACGACCACCGGATAGTTCTATCAAAATCAAATTCCCACTCTTTCGGGTCGACACAACTGGCTCGTGATTGTTCTGAGTGTGGGTGTCGATATTTTCACTCAACGCCGCGCAGCGACTGCGCTGCCAGCGCCGACTGCGGCAGAGGCCGCGAGAGCGAAGCGATTAAAACGCATAAATTGAGGCTTCAAAAACAATATTCAGGCAATAGCGATCCAGCAATTATCAACGGTTAACAGTGCGATCGCGGCACTAACAGCGTTCGGATCGGTGCCCTATATCATTATTTGGGAACTCGACACTGCAAACGGCAAACAGTTGCACTAGGTTCTACATGGTTAATAGCAACTACTGTGCCAATCGAATATAATTTGTATTAGTTCTTGTCTTGTGACTCAGTGGGAAGTTCTGATACTTCACATTCATAATATAGTGCCGCGATACCACAACATGAGCTCACCCAACAGCCGATTCATCCTCTCGAGTGTGCCCATCGAGGATCAGCCACCCGATAAGGACATAG